TGCATGTTACATTCATTGTGGGGAATTGGTCTGATGTTGTATGAAAACATGCTTTTTATTGTGTGATTTGCCAACACTTGGAATAACCAAATCCATTTATGTAAGGATAAACACCTTATATGGACATGGTTCTTTATGATTTTATCTTTAATGTTACCTCTAGTTTTGAGCATTTTCATATGTGGGCTTTTAACCTGTGCAAAATTGTTTCTTTCTATATCATTCTATGGTTCATATGGTGTAATGTTTATAATCACTAACCCAGTTGCTTATAGGTGATACATAATTCACAGATTTTTGTATATTAAGCTAGGATGTATACCATGCTGTAGTGTCTTCTAATAGTTACTTGTTTTTTAATTTTTCCAGCCTGTAGTGTCATAAGTTAGCAAAATCAGTTTTCTCTATTGCATTTTATTCTTAACAACTTTAGTTTTTTTTTTTTTCTGTGATTTCTTTATATCCATTGATACAACTTTAGGATTTTTGTTTTTTATAGTGTAAGTTGTGACATTAATTATTGAATAATCCTACTTGTATACTTTCAATAATTTCTTCTCATTATAGTCTATAGTGCTATGTCATTGTCAAGCAGTGAATTTGTTATTATCTGCTGAGTGATTTGCATTATTACTTGTGCCTTTTTTCAGGTGTTTTGCAGTGGAATATTTAAATACTGAATTGATATCTTCTCTAGAAACACCCCTAGACATGATTAAGATATCTATTCATGTTTACACATCATCAAATACTTAACATTGTATTGAATTTTTCATTTGAAACGTGTATCATCTTAATATTTATGATTTAATCTTTAATTCTGAGGAATTTTCTAGCTGCATTTGTGCTCTTGGATTCTAGTTTCATTCCACTGTGATGTGAGAGTAACATTATCAACACAATGTGCTTTCCTTTGAATATGTTGAAATCTGTTGTTTCTTGGAATATCATTTGTTGGAGACTATTTCTTGTGATTTTAAGGAGACTGTACTCTGCATGTATTGCATGAAGTATTTTCCAATACGCAACAAATCCACTTGAGATATGATTACAGACTTCTTGACCTACTAATTCATGATGGAGGTATTTTGAAACCTTCAGAGGTAGTTGTTGTTCTATGATTTTCCCTTTACTTTCAGGTTCATTGTCTTGTGTTACTTGAATTTGTTTTTAGTGGAATATATAAGAATTGTTTTGTTAGAGAACTTCCTTAGATACTGTATTTGATACTGTAATTCTTTTCTTTGAGGTACACAATGAGTAGTGTCACATTAAAAAGGTTTTCTTTAATCAGTGCTAGACCAGCTTCCATTTTTGCATAACTTTGTATTTTATATTTTTCTTTATGTTTGTGTGCTTTTCAGTTGACAAATGGAGATTGAATTTATTTATAATTTAATGCCTGATTCCTTTAAACAATTATGCATTGTCAGTAAAACTAATCAAACAGATAATACTACAAACCTTTTGTTTTTGTAGTCTGAATACTGCAAAAGAAGTGCTGTGCTGATTTTCAGAGTAGATGACAGTGTTCTTAACTGTATTCATAGCAGTGGCTATGAATAAACATCAAACTTATTTAGTTATTTATTTTGCCTAAATAAAATTACAAATTTTTAAAACATTACGCTCATCAGTTCTTTTCTATGTAGATATTTTTAATGGAGAACATGAGTTGGATGTTTTATCTACTGTCACTTTTAATTGTTTATCCAAATAATATATACATAGGGTGTATACTGGCAATTTATATAGCATGTTTCTTACTGTTTTCCATTAGTTTAAATTGTTCTCGTTTTCTGTTTAATCTGTCTTATTTGTTCCCTGTTTATTTTAATTGGGAGTATTTTTGCGTAATTCCATTTGCTTTTGTCAATTAAGAATCCACCATATCCACCATGCCTCTGTCCTCTAATTTTTTCTGATTTTTCCATGTTAGCAATGTCCTTTTATAATTTATTTAAACTCATGTTTAAATAACATTCGTTTCATATGCCTTACCATGTTCACAATTACTTCCCATCCAATGCAGAATTTGTCACTAATTCTATTTGTCAGTACCTCTAACAATCCAGTGTAGGCCCTAATGTTACTCACTTAAACTTAATTTCTTGGTTAATACAAATAGAATGCATGGCAGTAGATTTATTGAAGGTATTCTTTCCAGTTGGGTAAGTTGTATATGGTCTTTTTGATAATGTGGAAATTGTTACTGATGGAGTTTTATACAAACAGCTTTTTCCTGTTGTCCTTTAATTACTTTTATCTAGTTGCCTCTACCGTTTTCCCATAATTTGGAAGAAAGTTGCCTGATTGTCTTTATGTGGATATTTCACTGATCTTTTTGAGAGACTCTTTTCAGTTCATTTGTTGTTTTCACTTCTGGGATATGCTTTCCCGTTCCTCTGTACTCTGTGGTGTTTTTATTGTTTGTTGCTCATATGTGAACATTTGCTTAGTGTAATAAGGTAAAAGTTAAAATCCCATCCTATTTCATTTTCAGGGTTTAGGAACATAGCTTGGAGTGGTTGAAATTAGGAACTTCGCTTTTACCAAGAATTTGGATGTAGAAATGTCCCAGGGTTTTAGGCTTTCAGAAAATATCGTATTTCCCAGTCAGAACTCCTTGAAACATGAAGATTTATAAAAGGGCTGTGTTCTTCTCTTTCCATTGTCAGAAGCAGGAAAGATTCTGGCACGTTGCACTTCCTGAGCCATGAGTTATGTGAGTCATAACCCTTGGCACATCCTGTTGGATTCTGTGCCTTAACTTTACCAGCCTGAACGTGAAGGCCTTTCCTCTTAGGGCTGAGCATCAAATTCACTGTAAATAGGACGTTTAAATGTTAGTTGACTTTGATGTCCATCTTTCGCTTCTCTGACTTTCTAACCTGCTCCCCTCTTGGTGGCCACCATGCATTCAGACCATAGCTTGATGGGTGTCTTGGGGTCTAAGTTTTGCAACTATACCACCTCTTTTACTGCTGTCCAATACGTGAATTATCTTTCATATTTCCACATGAGAAGGTTGGCAAACACATATAAATTATGTGTTCTTTCTCTGTGGTAATTTTTTGTAAATATTTTGCGATGAATTTTTTTCCAAAAGTGTTTCTTTTGATGAGATTTAGTTATAATCACAAAAGAAACATCCTGGAAACCTTTAGGAAATTTTCTAACTGGGCTTTGGGCAGTGGTGAAGAGCAGCCAGGTGAAACCCTATTTGATTCAACTTATCTTCCCCATTGATAACCATAGTTCTATGTCAATTGCTCCTTTACTCAAATTTACCATCTGTACCTATCACAATGCAGAATTCTTGTGATTTTGATCCATTAGAATCTCCAGAATGAATTACTATAGGAATCACACAGGAAAAGCCCTGGATATTGGTATGGGCCTGTAAATCTAGTGCTCCAGGGGCTGAGGCAGGATCATGGAGTCAGGGTGAGCCTTGGGTGCAGCATACAAAGTTCTAGGCCATTCTGAACTACATAGTAAGACTCTCTCAAAACAACAAAATAAGTACAAGAAATTGCAATTCTCAAGTATTCAAGTTTATTGTTCACATTTCAAGATGATACTAATTACTGTCCATGAAACGTGGAAGAGAAAATGTTTTATTGGACATTTCTGTTTCTCCCAGTCTCCCATATTAAGCACATTTTGACTTTTGCCATATTGTACCATATCAGCTCTATCATGAATCAATATTTTATGTACATATGGGTCCACTGAAGACTTTTCCTTTTCTGTGATCATTTGTCATTCTCTCTGCTAAATATACAATTCCTAAACTACTGCATTTTGAATTTTTTTTTTTTTTTTGGTACTGGGTTTTGAACTTGCCACCTTGCGCTTGCCAGGCTGGCACTTTTACCGCTGAGCTAAATCCCAGGCTTTTGAATGCTTTCTATGTATATTAAGCAAGGTGTCATTTTCTTATTGCTAGTTAATCAATTTTTAAAGATATTTATTATATTGAGCAGTTAGTTTTTGGTTGAGTTGAAAGTATAATTTGAAGTGACAGTTTTTTTCTTAACTTTATTGTCTTATTTGTACCTGTTAACTTTGCAAAATACTGGTTTTCAATGCATATATTTTGATCATATGCTTTTCTCCCTTCCACCACCATAGAATTTTTTCTGTTAGCGTGAAAGGTGGCCATTTTGTATCATTGAACTCTTAATGTAATTTTGTTGTTTATAGACATTCTCTAGTAAAATATATGTTTTCTATTACATTTCAACTGTCCTTCATGGTGCTTATTTACTATTTGATTAATTCTTTGCCCACAAAATCTGCTTCAGGTTTCAAAGTGCTGTCTAAATACAATCAGAGGGGGCTGGAGATTTAGCTCAGTGGCATAAATGCCTGCCTTGCAAGCAGACAGTCATGAGTTTGATCCCCGATAAAAAAGAAAAAGACAAAAAAAAAAAAAAATCAGAGAAGTACAGAGCAAATTTCCTAAATAATAAGTTGTGAAAAGAAATTTTCTATGATCTTTCAAAGGAGTTAGTCATCTATTCCAGTTTTTATTTGTGTGTTTGTCTTGCAGATTTCCTCTGTAAACCATGCTTTAGAGACAGTGCACAGACAAAACTAGGTTAATCAGTGGAGAACCAATGTGTTCCCATTATGTTGCTGTAGCAGTCAGTTCCGCTGTAGCCTCAGAACTCCTGTGTGAGGCAGGTGTATGGATATTGATAAAGAACTTATGACTAAGCCGGGCATAGTGGCTCACGCCTGTAATCTCAACCCTCGGGAGGCTGAGGTGGGAGGATTGTTGCGAGTTCGAGACCAGCCTGAGCTACAAAATGAGCTCAAGGCCAGCCTGAACTGCATAACGAGACCCCGTCTCAAAAAAAAAAAAAAGAACTTATGACTAGACTTGATGTAAACATGTGGGGGATTCAGTCTTGCTGCAGGTTTTGTGAATGGTTTTGTTCCATACTGTGACTCTCAGTCATTTTCCTGTAAATATATGTGTGATGATTTAGGAGGAAGTGACCTTTGAGGATGTTGCTGTGACCTTCACTGTGGAGGAGTGGGCTCTGCTGGATTCATCCCAAAAGAAGTTCTACAGAGATGTGATGTGGGAAACCTTTAGCAGTGTGTCTGCTATAGGTGAGAGTGGTCTTATTATCTAATTTATAAAATCAGAGAGCATTGCTTCTTGGTCATCAGTGTAATTTTATTAATTGGAATTTGAAAACACTGATAAATATTCTAGGTACGATCACATTGTATCATGCATCTACCTGGAATTTTTAATCTAACGTTGGAATTCCTTACTATATTTCTTTTTCTACACGTTAGGAAGAAATTGGGATGACAAGCAAATTGAAGATGAGTGGCAACAATACTGGAGGAGAAATCTAAGGTAATTCACACTGAAGTTCTTTAAAAGTCAGGGGAGAGCAAAAAGTTTAAGCCAAGGAAACTATTTATATTGTTAGTTGCACATATAAGAGAAACCATGCAATTTTTATGCTTACATTTGTGATTTATTTCACTTAACACAGTCTCAAGGTGCAGTCTTTTTTCCCACCAGTGACTCAAGTTTATCCTTCTTTATGATGGATGGTAGTAGTCATTGTGCATGAATAAATGAAAGAGCAAAATAAATAATACATAATAGACAACAGGGAGAAAGATATTTTGTAAAAATGAAGGGAAATAGATGAATGAATGGAAGAGGAAGAGGGGGTGGAAAGGGAATGAAAAAAGTATTAAGTTTTGTTCTGTACATGTAACAACATTCTGTGATTAATGTAGTCATTATGTGTTAAAAATAGGTATTAATAGAAATTTAAAAATTTTAAAACCCAACTGCAAATTAAACTATGTTCAGATTTATTTAATCTCACAAATTTTGTTAGCATGCATACATGTTGGGAAGCTATACTGAACTATTCAAATCCAAATAAATTCTACTGTTTTGAATAGCTGTTTGCAAGTGGTTCTCCACAACATTCAGTCCATTCATTTTCCAGAATTGTTACAAAGTCCTTTTCTATGTATTTAGTGGAAATGTCACATAATACAACATCTATGGAAATGTGTGTAGAAAATTCTCAAAAAAAAATAGAATTTACATTTGATTGAGCTATAATTTTACTGGGTATATTTCTAAAAATTGAGTCATAATGACTCATGCATACACACGTTATGGGAGCACAGTTTTTTTGGTTTTGTTTTTTAGTTTAAAGGGGGTAAAATTAAACACACCAAAACAGAACAAAATAGGACATAATAAAGCAATGTAAGAGATATAAATTTCAAAGCTAGATGACCTGAGATCTTCACTATCTACCATATTGTCTCGTTTTCTTCCAAATAGTTGTCCATGTCTTCAACTACAGAGAATTCATACAAAATAACATGGTATAAAACTGATCTGAATAGATTGAGGAAGGCATTTTAGGTCTTCAAAACCAGACAAAAGGAAAGTCACTAATGGCTGTCATAGAGTCTCTTGTTCTCTTCAAAATAGCTGTCCATACTTTCATGTATATTGAAGTTCAACAAAACAAAACAAGCAGCGGGGGAGGGGTTGCTTGGTTTCCCTGTGCTCCAGGTCCCAGCATGGTGTGCATCCCAGTGAATGCTGGTTGCTCCCGTCCTGGGCTGCTGAAGCCTGCCACGCTCACAGCTGCTCACCAGGGAGAGAGGGAGGTTGCTTCAAGCTGTTTCTTTCTAATGAATTGATCATTTCACTGCCCAAGTTCTGAAATGGCCAATAGACCATAGAAAGACATCTCTTTAGGCTCCTGCTTGAAACCAACAGTGTCTGGAAGCTGCTAGCCTTGATTCAGGGCCAGGGGAACACAGTTTTTAATAGGTGATTCCTGAAAAAGCTTATTCACAGAGGAATTGGTAAAGAACACATGGAGTGATGGCACATACTTGTATGCCCAGCACTCTCAGAAGCTGAGCCAGAAAGATCACATGTTCAGACTCAGCATGCGTGACTTAGATACTGAGGAAAATCTGTTTCACAGTAAAGGCTGTGGGTATAGCTCAGTGCTAGGGCCCTGGGTTAAATCTTCAGCACTGAAAAATGTGTGGTGTGGATACATGATAGAATTGTATTCAGCTAGAAACAAGAATATAATGTCATCTGCCAAGAAAAAAAAAACACGTGATCTTGAGTTCATAACTTTTAAGTGAAATGAGACAGGCATAATTTTAAGTGAAATAAATGAAACTCTAAAAATTTAATGTCTAGTGATATATATGAGAAACACAATATATGACGAGTAAAATAAAGGAAAGATGATGGAAAACAGGCATTTTTTAAAGAAAAAAAGAATAAAAATGATGATCATTGATTAATATATTATATATTGTCATCTTCAAAGTTGCTCAGATTATAAGATATAGGCATGAAAAAAATTATCCAACAGTGAAAGCACTAACAGAAGATTAGTAGCATAATTATCTATCTTGTGTGTGTATACACATGTATGTATACATATGTATACATATATATATAATTTTTTCTCTTTTTCTTTTTTCCTTCCCCCCTCTTTCCTTTTGAGCAGTTTCTTCCCCTTTTGCTTTTACAATATCTATTGTAGATTTTGGATCTTATTTACTCCTTTAGTTTTTTACACTAGAGAGATAATATGATGTTTGCAAGATTTGAGTCTGATTTATTTCATATATGAGTATGATCTCAGGTTGCATCCATTTACCTATAAAAGCTTCAAATTTATTCTTCTTTATGGCTGAGTAGTACTCCATTGTATAAAAATGCCATATCTTTTTTATCCATTCTGAGTTTGATGGGCATTTGGGTTCTAAGATTTAGCTATTACAAATTGTTGCTGCTGTAAATACGAATGCACATATATCAATTCAGTATGATGTTTTCAATTCTTCTGGGAAAATACCCAGAAGAGAAGTAGCTGGATCTAGTGGGACCTCCAATCCTAGTTTTTTGAGGAGTCTCCACACTGATTTCCCCAGCTGTTGCACCAGTCCACGCTCCCACCAACAGTGGAGGAGCATTCCTTTTTCCCCACAGTCCTACCAGCAGTGTTTATTGGTTGAAGAAGATAGGTGTTTTTGGTGATGGTCAAGAGATTCAATGGAGAGGGGAGGGTGCAGCATCTTGGAGGAAAAATAATCAATTAAAAATAATCGGTATTGATATATGTGTGTATTGAGTCCCCAAAATGAAAGTTAATATTATGTATTACAAATGTGTCATTTTAAAAACTGTCAAATTAAGACTAGTATTTCAGAAAGATTGATTTTTTTCATTATGTTTATTCTTTTGGTTTGTTTTACAGATGTGAAGAGGCAGTGGAATGCCATCAACATAAATCATGGCATCAAGATGGAGACATGTGTTTTTGGACTCCACATTCTAATGTGAACGTGAAGCTTCCTGGTTTGAAGCCAGCTGAAGATCTTGTTTGTAGCAAGCCCCTGATTGGTCATTCATTGCTAGGTGTACCCATCAAGGCTCACACTGCACTTGAATCATATGACTATGAGAAATTTGAAGGCAAACTGTCTAACTGTAATGCACATGATTCCCAGCCCCTTCACAGGCATGTGAATACACACACTGCAGAGAGACCCTGTGAGCAACGTGGGAAAGTGTCCTTTGACTGCAGTGTAGAAACTCACACTGGACAGGAGTCTGAGTCCCTCAGTATGCCCACTTATATTCACATCCATGACGGAAGCCACAGTGGAGTGCACCCCTTTCTATATACACAATGTGGCAAAGCTTTTAATTCCCATGACTATATTCAAATACAGGAACAACCTCATAATGGAGAAAAACACTATGTATGTAAACAGTGTCAGAAATCCTTTACTAGTAACACTTCATTTTATACACATGAAAGAACTCACTCTAAGGAGAAATCCTATGTGTGTAAGCATTGTGGGAAAGCTTTTGGCAAACCTAGCAATTGTCGAATACATGAAAAAACTCATATTGGTGAGAAACCCTATGTATGCAAGCAGTGTGGAAAAGCTTTCAGTACACACAAGTATTGTCAGATACATGAGAGAAATCACACTGGAGAGAAACCTTACATTTGCAACCATTGCGGGAAAGCTTTCAATTTCAAGAGTAATTGTAAAATACATGAAAAAATTCATACTGGGGAGAAACCATATCTCTGTAAGCAGTGTGGGAAAGCTTTTACCAGACACAGTGATTGTCAGATCCATGAAAAGACTCACACGGGGGAGAAACCCTATGTATGTAAGGTATGTGGGAAAGCTTTTAGGACATACAAGTACTGCAAAATACATGAAAGAAATCACACTGGAGAGAAACCCTACATATGTGAACAGTGTGGAAAAGCATTCACTTGTAAGAGTTCAATTTGTACACATAAAAGAACTCACACTGGGGAGAAGCCCTATGTATGTAAGCAATGTGGGAAAGCATTTAGTACACACAAATATTGCCAAATACATGAAAGAAATCACAGTGGAGAGAAACCCTACATATGTGAAGAGTGTGGGAAAGCTTTCAATTGTAAGAGTTCGTTTTGTAAACATAAAAGGACGCATACTGGGGAGAAACCCTATGTATGTAAGCAATGTGGGAAAGCTTTCAGGACACAAAGTGATTGCCACATACATGAAAAAATCCATACTGGACAGAAACCCTATATATGCAAGCACTGTGGAAAAGCATTCAGTAGACACAGTAATTGTCAAATACATGAGAGAATTCACACTGGAGAGAAACCCTATGTATGTAACCACTGTGGGAAAGCTTTCACTGATAACAGTTCATTTTGTAAACATAAGAAGATACACTGTAGTGAGTCACTGTGTATGTGAATGGTGTAGGAAATCACTCAGTACACAAAATGGTCAAATACTTGAAAGACATGACATTGTAGAGGAAGCCTGTGTATTTAAATGTGGGGAAACATGATACATGTACTGTCTAATACTCAGTTTAATCACGTTGGTGACTTTGAAAGCATTGTGGGAGAACTTTCAGTATGTGCCATGTCAAATTCATGAAAGAATTCACACAGGAGAGAAGTCCTATGTATCCCTCTAGAACACACAGTTATCATCAAATAAATAAAATCACACTGTTGAGAAACCCTATGTATATAAGCAATGTAGGAAAGCTTTATGCACACATAGTCACTGTGAAATACATGAAAGAACTCACACTGAATAGAAAATCTATATGAACAATGTAGGAAAGCACTAGAGTTCACGGTTATTGCCACATATATGAAAGAATTCACACTGGTGAGAAACCCTATGCATGTAAGAAATGTGTGAAAGAATTTAATATGCACTCTGTCAAAAAGTGTGTGCACATTGTGCAAAAGACTCCTCCAGTAATCACAGACATTAAAAAATACTACAAAAGAAATTAACTGTTGAGTATGTAATGGCACTGTGACATGAAAGATTTCCGAGTGGAAATAAGCCCTTTCTTTCTAAACAATGGGAAGTCTTTAGTACACACAAGTATTACATAAAAGAATTCATAAGGAAGGAAATGTGAACAGTGTACAGAGTTTATTTTTTCCAAATGTATTCAAATATATGAAAGTTCACCTGGAGGAGAAGCTATATGTATATGGTACAGGTGGGAAAGGATTTCTTCAGCTTACTTTGAAATATGGAGAAACACTGGATAAAAACCCTATGTAGATAATGTGGGAAAGCCTTTTGTAATTTTCATAACTTCAGAAAACCTAAACACACTGAAAGTAAGTACAAATACAAGTTGAGATTCTTCACTTTGGCCCGACCTGTCATGGAAACATGACATCATGTAGTACAGATGACTTTATGAATTGGCATTTATGAGAATATCTCTGACTAGGTTTTATTATAGAAGAATACAGTATAGTGAGAAACCATGAATGCTTCAAAAGGATGTACATAAATCTTGAGCTGACTTATATGTAAAAGTGCATATTGAATGAAAATCCTCAGTAAATGCATATATTTCTCAGTTGTAACTCATCTTCAAAATCCTTTGAACATGTCTCACATAGTGGGAACCTAAAAAGAGTGTTACATAAAAAACAATGTCAATTATATGTGTAGAATATTTCATAAAATACACAATGAAGTGATAAGTCATATCTTTTGAATATAGTGTGTTCATTAATAATTCTTAAAGTAGATCTTGGATTATGTAAGTTTACTTTTAAGAGCAAGTACTGACACACTTCTATGTGTAAGCAATATTGAGGGAATCGTAATCAAATTAGGTGATACAGTATTTTGGATCATGTTTAATTCACAGATGAATTGCCATGTATTTTTGTATTCCAATAAGCTGAATATTTATGTAATTTGTACTATTTTAATGATCGTGGGAAACTTAATAGGACACTTAAAACTGAATTTTTATTAATGATTGAAAATTTCCTGCTAGATTCTATTTATATTCTTCATGCATATGCTGGTTTTCTTGTTATAGAGTTTATAGGAATGTTAATTTTTTATGTGTATGTTTTAAATATTTTTGAATATGCATTTTAGACACTTCAACTGTTTACAATTTATAGATTAGCAAGTATTTTTTCCACATTCTGAGAAGATATATGAATGTATCCAAGCAGAACTATCGATTATGTGCAGTGTGTAATTTTCCTGTTTTTTTCTTTGATGTCCAGAAATAATGTCATGTCTATACAATTTTAGGATTTTTGTACAAAATATTTATTTTTCATGCTTATATACCCATGGTTTATTTTGGTAGTGTTACGATATCCAGTAGGCTTGTGTTCTAAGTTATGATTTTTGTAATGTCAACATTATAAGTAATCAGAATCCATTTTGAAATGACATTATTGTTTCAGAGACAGTCATGTATTTCTGTAGGTTCTATGGCTCCCATCCTATATACAATTTTCATCCAGATTGGCATCAGAAGCCACTTAGCTCTAAATACAAAGTAGCAGAAATGCCCTTCTGGTCTGTGACCAGCAGAACAGCCTTGACACAGTGGCACAAGCAGGCAATCAGCCTTATCAAATGATGGATCTAAGGCATTCACCTATGGCCAGTGGCTAACAGGAGCTATTGGTGAGGAAGAGAGAAAGCTGTGCGAAGTTCAGAAGGAGATAGTTGTACATGGTCCAGGAACAACACCAGGCTTTCCCTACCAGAGGGGACACAGCAACTGGGATACTGCCATAGAGACAAACATAGTCACAAGAAGCAGACATCCAAAACACTGTCAGCTGCAGATCAGTCTGGGTCCCACATCGAGAGGACAAGATCAGCTCTTCACCCAGCACAAATCCTGTGGCAGACATGGCAAGGCTTACCACTTCTGGGATCTGACTTGGACACTACCACAGAACTGTTTCATTTTCTTTGTTTTGTTTTCTAGGGCTTTCTTTTGACTAATTAGGTTTCTTACATCTATATTTTGTTCTATTCGCCTTTCTCTCTTCCCTCAACTAGCTCTCTTGGTTTTATAATACTTTCATATGAATGAACACTGTCTCTTTGTTTCCTGGTTCACTTTGCTTTCTCTTTCATTTCTCCTCTTCTGTGCTTTTCTTAAGCCTGCCAAAACTTGAATTATCATCCTTAGCTCCTTATCAACCTTGCTCCTACTGTGTTTCTCTGCATTCATTTCTGTTTTCCAACCTGTATCTATTAAACACCATCCAAACATGGTAAAATTAAACTATAAAGGTAAATCATTGCATACAAATTCCTGGTATATGCTGAATTTTGTTATACAACTATAGAGTTAAAGGTACCAAATTAATAGTCACACAGTTTTTCAGTTGCTAGGTTGTGACTGATGTTACTGTTATTGCTAATTGTACTACCTTGACCAGGGTTTCATACATATTGTAGCCAGTTTTTCTTCCCCACATGAAGACACTGATTATCTGGGTTCATAATCATCACAAAAAGCCAGTATCAAAGGATGGGGTGCTGAGCCAAATAAATATCAACTTGTCATCCTTAATTAGGAAGGTAGGTTCTTTGCATAGACATAAAGACCACGTACCACCTACACCTAGAAGACATCTCTGAGGAATAGACATTCCCTAGGGAAGCCTCCATACAAAGGATAAAGCTGTCTGCCACAAGAAAACTGCAAACGTCAACACAGTAAAAAAAAAAAAAAAAAAGAATGACAAGACATGGAAACAAAATGTCAAACCACCAGATGTCCAGCCCACACAGGAAAAGTGCAGAGCACAGTGAGATAGAAGAAACTGTAGGTCACATACTGAATCATTTGGAAATGATTGTAGCAGAAGTGAGAAAAAATGGATGTGACTACAGAAAAAATAATTTCAAAAAGAAGTGACAAAAACAAAAGATGTGCTCAATAAGTTTAGAGTAGACACATAAATAAAATAGAGGAGCATAGGAAAATGATAGAAACCATGAACGTCCAACATAGGAAAGAAATGGGAGCCATGAAACAGATCCAGAGAGATTGCATGAGTGTAAAAATTTCATTGAAATTCTGTGCAATAGATTGAATAAAGGCAGAGCTAGAATGTCAAATCTACAAGGCAGAGTTGCATTTACCAACCATGAAAAGAAAGATGTCTTAAAAATAGCAGAGGACCATGAAAAATTGGCCCAACAGCTGTAAAGATGAAGTAAAGAACAACATAGAACTTACAGAAGTTAATGAAAAAAGCCAGAGATAGTGAAAACACCATAAAATACCTCTTCATAGAAGTAATGACAGAAAACATCCCAAAGATAAAGGATTTTACATACAAATAAGTGAGACATAACTCCAAGTAGGAATGACAAAATAAATCTGCACCAAAGCATATAAGATTCCAAAAATTCATTGCAGGAATGGAATTATTAAAAGTGGTTAGAGAAAAGAAACAAGTGCTCTATAAAGCAAAATCAGTAGAATCATAGTAGCCTTTGCAGCACAAACCCTATAGTCGAGGAGAACTTGAAGTATTTTAGGATCTAAAAGAAAACCACCTCCAACCCAGATTCATGTACCCTGAAAAAAATACCTTTAAAAAATCAATGGAAAATAAAGATACTTTCATGACAAAGACTAACTGCAGAAATTCATGACCACCGGGGCTGGGAATTTAGCTCAGCGGCATAAGCACCTGCCTTGCAAGCAGGCAGTCGTGAGTTCGATCCCTGGTACCGATAAAAACGAAAAAGACAAAAAAAGAAGAAAAAAAATTCATGACCACCAAAACAGCTTTTCCAACTGATCTGGAGGATGTATTAGGAGAAAAAATTGAAGACCGCTATTCAAAGAATACCAATAGAAGACACCACACAGGACAAACAATTAAAGAGGGGGAAATATAGAGTATCAACAATAGGAAAATAATAGAAGGCTAAGTCAATGCATGTTAATTATAACCATCATTGTAAATGGTCTCAATTCACCAATCCTCCCTCCCCAAAAAGGTTGGCAGAATGGACCAGGAAACAAGATCCAACAATATGCTGCATAAAAGAAGCACATTTAATTCAAAAGCAATTCATAGAAAGTAAAAACAAAACTCCATGCCACAGGAATCCAGAAAAAATGCAAGGTTAGCTATTCTATTTTCAGATAAAGTGGACTTTAAGCCAAGAATGATCAAAAGAGAGAAAGAAGGTCACTACATACTTGCTAAGGAAAAAACTCCAAGAAGAAGAGATTACAATCATAAATATATCTGCATCGAAAACTGGTGTACCCGACTACATATTCCAATTTTCTGTAGGATTTTTTTCATGAATGAGGTGTTAGACTTTGTAAAATGCTTTTTCTACATCTATTCTCATGAACATATGATTTTTGTCTTTGGCTTTGTCGATATGGGTATATTACATTTATTGATTTGTGTACATTGAACCATCCCTGCACTGATGGGATTCTACTTTCATGGTGAATAATCCTGATAGTATAATGTATTATGTTTGCCAGTATCTTACTGAGAATTTTAGCATCTATATTCATTTAGGAGATTGACCTGTAGTCTTCTTTTTTTGGTGGATCCTGCTCTGATTTGGATATCAGGGTACCATTTGCTTCCAGGAATGGCCTTGACAGTATTGCTGCCTTTTCAATATCATCACTAGTAGCTTAGATCTCTAAATTTTTTTTGTAGAATTCTCTAAATTTTTTTTGTAGAATTCAGAAATGAATCTGTCAGGACCTGGGCTTTTCTTTTTTGATAACTTTTAAATTACATTTTCAATTTTACTGACTATCCTTGAGGTATTTAGAATTTTTAAATCTTGCTTCAGTTTCACCAACTCATATGTATCTAGAAATATATCAATTTTGTCTGTTTTCCATCTTATTAAAGTACAATTTCTCAAAATATTGATGATCTGGATTTCCACAGGTTCTGTTGTGATTTCACCCATTTCATTACTAATAGAAATGAATTAGGGGATTGGGGAAGAAAGACAACATATATTATGTACAGGTACAACCTTTTTGTGTTGAATGTAATCATTACGTATGTATGAAATTTACTAAAAAATTAATCAAAATAAATAGAAAACATTCTGTTTTCATTGTCTCAAACATTTAATTTGCTGGCCAGAACACAACTCTAAATCGTTGGAAAGGCCCTCTCATTTCAGGAATTTGAAGAGTGGCTATGATTTGGTTTTCCCAGTGGAAGAGAAACCTTTTAATGTCTATTATCAGCCACGCAGAGAAATGATTGAAATTGGGCATGAGGAGGCAGTCAGTGTAGGTATGGGTCTGAGCACAGCATTCCACAAATACGTATCTGCCCACTGGAGATGACAGCCATCCAGAAAACTAGAGTGTTAAGCAGTGGAGCATTGACAATCTAGAGAGGTGCTGAGAAGAGAGTTGGTTGACTCAATGGAAGGTTTTGGATTATTTAGTGATTAACATGACTAGTAGAGGCTAACAAGGTTAATGTGAAATTACACTGGTGAGGAGAAACGTGTTCAAGCAGTAACCCACTACCACTGTGCTGGATGAAAAAGGGGGCTTCGAAGGTTAGATCAGTGTTAGTGGCTATTGGGTCATTTATCGGCTTGTGCCTTTATAAGGAGTGAGATTTGGGCATATATCTTGAAGAGGAATAGTTGGATAAAATGAATTTTATACTTTTAGATTTTGGGGAAACATTTGGGCTGATTTCCATAATGTTTGTACTAATTTACATTCCAACCAATACTTTAGAAGGATTCATTTTGCCCTCCAGTTTTGCCAGCCTTTGTCATTATCTGATTTCTTGATGATAGCCATTCTTTCTGGAGTAAAATGGAATCTCAGTGTTTCAATCTGTGTCTCTCTAGTGTCCAGTGATGTTGAACATTGTATATATATTGCCCATTTGTACCTCTTCAGAGAAACGTCTTTATTTCAGTTGCCCATTATTTGATTGGGGTTTTTGTTATAGGTGGTTTAAATATTTTTGAGTTCTAAATATTAATTCTATCAGCAAATCAACTCTGTGTGAGGGACAATTTTATGCTGTGTATGAGGGCAATCTTGATTCCCCACTACCACAAGAACATACATTAAGAAGACAAAAAAATTAATGAAGAAATATCAGGATTGATCCAAATCCAAGAACGAATGCACTTAACAGATGTTCAGAATGCTCCCCTCAATAATAGTTTGTTGATTTTAAAGATATCTCTGAGTAATTTATCACTTGCCCAATTTTCTAGAGCTGACAGTCTATTCACACATCAGTCTCTTCTGATGTCTATGTGAAAAGCATAAATTTTAGTCTTCTATATTTCTCTTTAGTGCCTTTACATGGACTCTTATTCTTTGATAGAGTGGTCACATCACTGTGATCTTCACCTGAGCTAGGTTTTTTTAATGTCTTCTGTAAACTCTGTGATTGTTTTATGTAGTCCATTATCTGTTAGTTATACCTTTTTCTTTGAGCTCACCAGGCAACTTATTGATCTGATTTTAAATCTTTATTAACATTTTGAAAAATGAGGGTGTATGGCTTTTGACTGCCTCTGCCTGAGTCCTTGCAAATGGGTAGTATTTGGAAGCATACTTTGCCTCCTGTTTTCATGTTTTTCAATTCTCTCTCTCTCTCTCTCTCTCTCTCTCTCTCTCTCTCTCTCTCTCTCGTGTGTGTGTGTGTGTGTGTGTGCATGTGTGTTAAGGTTTACAGGTTGATTATAGTGGAAATACTTTATTGCTAGTCTGGATATATGTTAAGTTAGTGTTTGCTTCTCAGTGATGCACTTCTGAGTATAGCTGCCTATTGGACATTGTCTCTGTCTCAAGATGCAACCACCTTCCTTAATTTGGGAAAGTCAGATGCCATGTAATTGCCCTAGCACCTGGTTATCTGAGAATAGGTTTCAATATTGTCAATGGCAATTCATAGCAACAACTGTACCACCCTGGCAATAGCAACAAAATCTGTAATAATAATTGCATGAAAGAATAACATAATATTAACTGGATATTAACATAGTATAAGATTGTCAACTGCATGGGAGGAGGAAAAGAAGTCAACAAGAAGGCCAGTTTTCCCTGCATGTCAGCACCATGCATGGGCAGTTTCGGGGAGAATCAGACAGCAGCCTTTTCCATGAGTTGGTACATTCAGACTGTACAGGAGAAGAACGAGAAGTCAACAGGAAGCCAATCTCTCCCTACAAGTCAGTACCATGTGCAGGCTGCTGGAGAGAGAACAAGATGCCAGCCCCTTTAGGAGTGCAAGTGGAGAGACAAAAGAGCCAACTCCACCTCTGACATAAGTGATCAGCTGATCTGGAGAAATACAGGCTGAGATGATAGCTATTGGGGTAAAATACAACTTAATGCCAATAGTGTTTAGTGTTTCACTGACCTTGCAAACCTAAACCCAGTAGTCTGATTATCTATTCAGAGGATAATGTCTATGGGAGATCTCCTTCTGAAGATGGTAGCCATTGTTAAGTCCCTGTTGTCTTGTTTTGAATTCCCATATCATTTTTATTGTTTGGTTGGGTTACATTCTGTTTTGTCTTGTTTGATTTTATTATATCCAATGGCATGGGCAGCTATTTCAAAGATAGCAAGATATATTATGGAAACTACTTTGGATTTACTATTATCTTTTTTTAAAGTTCTTTACTGCAGTCATTGTTTTATTTTTATTGGTTCAATTCTGTGTTTTATTTCTTTGGTTTTTACTATGTCTGATGGTATGGGCAGCCATTTTGAAGATAACAAGAGGCCATCATCAAGATTATACACCATGACCAAGTGGGATTCATCTCAGGCATGCAGGGGTGATTCGATATACCTAAATCAATCAATGTAACCCACCATATCAATAAAGCCAAAAGCAAGAATCACATGATCATTTCTATAGATGCAGAATCAGCTTTTGATAAGGTCCAACATTCATTTATGATAAGAACCTTATATAAAATTGGAATAGACTGTCTTTACCTCAATATGATAAAGGCCATCTATGACAAATCAACAGCCAGTATCATACTAAATGGCACCAAATTGAGGATCTTTACCTTAAAATCAGGCACAAGACAAGGATGTTCCTTATCACCACTCCTATTTAATTCAGTTCTGGAAATAGTAGCCAGAGCAATTAGACAAGAGAGAGAAATAAAATGGGTAACATAGGAAAGAAGAAGTTAAATTATCATTGTTTGTGGACATGATACTCTACATGGAAGATCCCCAAGACTCCACTGAATGACTCCTAAATATAATAAATAAATTTAGCAATGTAGCTGGGTACAAAATCAATACTAAAAAATCAATAGCATTTATATACACCAACAACAAAATCACAGAAAGAGAAATAAAAGAAGCCACACCCTTCACTCTAGCAAACAAAAAATTGAAATATTTATGAATTATCATCATGAAAGCAGTGAAAGAACAATATAGAGAAAATTATAATACACTGAAAAAAAGAAATTGAAGATGATCTCAGAAAATGGAAAGACATCCCTTGCTCATGGATAGGAAGAATAAAGTGAAATGACTATTCTCCCAAAACTGTTATACAGATTCAATGCAATACCAATAAAAATACCATCAACATACCTCATAGATCTAGAGAAATCACTCCTAATATTCATCTGGAACCAGAAGAGACCTAGAATAGCAAAGACAGCTCTAAGCAGCAAAGGCAAGGCAGGAGGCACCACAATCCCTGACTTGAAGTGATACTACAAAGCAACTGTAGTAAAATCAACATGGTACTGGAATCAAAACAGAGCCAAAGATCAATGGAATAGATTACAAGATACAAGCACAACTACAAACACGCTAAACTACCTTATTTTTGATAAAGGGGCCAAACGTATTCACTGGAAGAACGACAGTCTCTTTAATAAATGGTACTGGAAAAACTGGCTCTCCATATGCTGAAAAGTAAGACTATACCCATGCCTATCACCATGTACTAAATTAAAATCTAAATGGATCAAAGATCTGAATATTAAACCAGAAACACTAAATTTATTGGAAGACAAGTTGGGTAAAAATTTTGACATAGGGGTAGGTACAGAATTCATGAACAGGACTCAAACCGCATGGGAAATACTTCCCAGAATCAATAACTGGAATCATGTCTTATTAAAAAGTTTCTGCATGTCAAAAGAAATCTCTAGCATAATGAAAAAAAGAACCTACAAACTGGGAAAAAGTCTTAGTGAACTGTCCCTCAGGCAAAGGACCTGTGTGTAAAACACATAAAGAATTAAAAAAATTAGACCCCCAAATTCAAGGATCCAATCCAAAAATGGGCATCTGAGATGAATACACAATTCTCAGATGAAGAAATACAAACAGCAAATAAATACATGAAAAAATGTTCATCATCATCAGTCATTAGAGAAATGCAAATTAAAACCACACTGAGATTCCATCTCACTCCAGAAAGAATGGCCAGGATAAAAAAACCACCAACAACAAATGCTGGAGAAGCTGTGGGGAAAAAGGAACTCTCCTGCACTGTTAGTGGGAGTGTAGGCTGGTGCAACCGTTGTGGAGGTCAGTCTGAAGATTTCTCAAAAAGCTGGGATTGGAAGTCCCATTTGTTCCAACTATTCCACTTCTAGGCATATTCCCAGTAAACTGAAAACATCATACCACAGTAATATATGTACACCCATATTTTATAGCAGCACAATTTGTAATTGCCAGATCTTGGAAACAACCTAAATGTCCATACACTGAGGAATGGATTAAAAACATGGTATTTTTGTACAATGGAGTCCTACTCAGCTATAAATAATGATCACATTTAGATATTTATAATTAAATGGACACAGCTTGAGACCATACACATAAGTGAAATAAATCAAACTCATGTATAAATACCAAATAGTTTTCCTAGTG